AGACAGAGTCTCACTTTGTTGCCTTCGGCAGAGTGACATGGTATCACAGCATACAGCAACCTCCAGCTCTTGGGCTTAGGCAATTCTCCTGCCTCAGCTTCCTGAATAGCTAAGACTACAGGTGCCTGCTAAATGCCTGGCTATTTTTTGTTGTAGTTTGTCCAGGGCCGGGTTTGAACCGGCCACCGTCAGTATATGGGGCCAGCGCCCTATTCACTGAGCCACAGGTGCTGCCCCTGATTCAATTTCTTTATCAGATCTAATCTAATTCTGGACCCAATGTAGTAAAATAATTGCTCAAATAAAGTCAGAGAATTCAAAATGCAAATTCATAGGACCAGATCTGAGAGGGAACTCACCCACCACCTCCAGCTGCAGGAGGAAGGCAGTGGACACAATGGGCCTAGCAAGCCCCTTCACTTGGTCACTTGGTGCTCCTGAGGGTCCCTGAAGGTCTTTTGGATCCCACTTCTGACATCAAAAACTATTAAAAGAGAAAGTTTTAGACAAATTAAATTTGACAGAGTTTATTTGAGCAAAGAACCATTCATCAATCAAGCAGCACTCAATTAAAAGAGGTTCAGAAAGCTCCACCCAGCAGTATGAGCAGTAAACTTTTATAGGCCAGAGAAGCATAGTGGAGAAATGGCCTGATTAGCCACAGCTGGTGTCTGTCTCATTGGGGTATGGTTTGAGCAGTTGGGGGCCTGTGATTGGCTAACTCTTGGCTATTTGTGATTGGCTGAAACCCAGCTATTAGTTACCCCCCCAAAATATTCCTACATTAGGGCTTTTTACATATTAAGTTAAATTGCAGTTTATTATGTAAGAACTAAAATTAGAGAGACAGTCTCAGGTTAATGGCTTCCTGGTTATTTAACTTAACAAAAAACAGGTTCTCCTTTTTTTTAGATAAGTTATTTGTGCCTGCTTTTTTTCTTATTGTCTTGCCAGAAGTTTGCCATTTTTATTAACATTTTCAAGAAACCAACTTCTGACGTTATAGATGCTCCACCTTCTCTTTCATGAATTTCTAATCTTATATTACAATTTCCTTTTTTCTGCTTTCTCAGGATTTTACTGTTCTTTTCCTAATTTCCTGAAGTTTTTGCCTGCTCATTAATTTTCAGCTATCCTTATTCTCCACAAATGCATTTAAGATTTAAATTTTCATCTAAGCACTATTTTAGCTGCTTCTAACAAGTTTTTATATGTAATTTTTAATGATCCATTAAAAATTATTTTCTAATTTCCATTTTGATTCTATTCCTTAGGAGGTTATTAGGAAATGTATTTATTAATTTTCAAATATATGAGAATTTTTGATTTTTGTCTTTTTCTACCTTAATAGCATTAGAGTCATAAAACACATTCTGTATAATTTAAATCCTCTAAAATATGTTGCAGTTTATTCTAGGATCCAGTGTCCGATCAGAGTATGTTCTGTGATTTCAGCATCTGTTGCAAGCAGCATAGGTCTATTAAGTCAACTATATTGTGTTGTTTCCATTTTCTTTATCCTTACTGATCTTTTGTCTGCTTTTCTCCATGATACTAAAAGAGAGGTAACAATTTCCACTCTGTGGATTTATCTATGCCTCTCTGTAGTTTTGCCATTTTGGTTCTTTCTTTTTTTTTTTTAAGACTGAGCCTCACTCCCTCGTCCTCAGTAGAGTGCTGTGGCATCATAGCTCACAGCATGACACAATCCTCTTGGGCTTGAGCAATCCTCTTGCCTCACTCTCCCAAGTAGCTGGGACTATAGGTGTTGCACCATCACACCCAGCTATAGTTTTTCTATTTTTCATAGAGGTGGGATCTCGCTCTTGTTCAGGCTGGTCTTCAACTCCTGAGCTCAAGCAGTCCACCTGTGTCTGCCTCCTAGAGTACTAGGATACAGCTACCACACTGGGGCCCCATTTTCTAATTTTTTATATCATTTTATAGTGCTTACAAATTCAGAATTTTTATCTCTTCTCAGTGAAATGTTTATCCTAGCAAAATATTTCTCTTTTATCTATAGTTATGACCTTTTTTGCTTTAAAGTCTATTTTGTCTGGTATCAATATAGCTACAAAGCTTTCTTTTGATAAATGGTTGCATCTGTCCACTTTGACCTTTTAGTTTCCATAAGAAATGTGTCTCTTGGCTCAACCTGTTAACGCTAGCACTATAGGAGGCTGAATCTGGTGGATCACCTGAGTTCAGGAATTAGAGACCAGCCTGAGCAAGAGCAAGACCCTGTCATCACTAAAAATATATAACAGAAAAATTGCCACGCGTTTTGGTGGGTGCCTGTAGTTCAAGCTACTCCAGAGGCTGAGGCAAGGGAATTGATTGCTCTACCCCAAGAGTTTGAGGTTGCTGTGGACTATGACTGCACAGCACTCTACCCAAGGTGACAGAGTAAGACTGTCTCCAAAAAACCAATATATATATATGTATGTGTGTGTGTGTTTGTCTCCTGTAAATAATACACCACACACACACACATATATCTCCTGTAAATAACACAGGTTTTTTTGGATTTTTAAAGTTGTACTATTGCTATGACTTGAATGTTTGACCCAAAATTTGAGTTGGAAACTTAACTTCCAACAGTGTTGAGAGCTGGGATCTTTAATAGGTCATGAGGGCTCTGTCCTCCTGAATTAGTTAATATTGTTATCATAAAAGTGGGTTCATTATGGGTATGTTATAAAACTTCTACCCTCTTTCTCTCACCATATGACGCCTTCCATCATGTTACTACCTAGTGAGGAACCAAGAATGCCCTCACCAGCCTCTCTATCTTGGACTTCTCAGAGAACCATAAGCCAATAAATGTCTGTTCTTTATAAATGACCCAGTCTCAGGAAGTTTGTTAGAATAGCACGGAATGGACTAAGATAGGTCTTGTCCCACCTGTTTTATGTTCTATTGTTTCTCCTTTCTTGCCTTCTTTTAGATGTAGGGGTATTCTGTACCATTGTATTTTTTCCTCTACTAGTTTATTTACAAATAAAATAGTACAAATAACTAACTGATAGCTTAGAACCTTTCAAAATATGCTGTCAACTTCTGGCAATTTTTGTAAAATAAGTACATTATAAAAGCCTTAAAGATGCGCCTGTTCTTCGCTTGGAATAGGAAGAAACTTTAAAATATTGGTGAATAAGTCATTTTCCTGGTTTTAAAAAAAAAAAATTCTTAACAGAGTCAAGACCTTCATCTCAGCAATCTCTCTCTCCTTCACCCCACCTCACCCCCGGAAAAAAAAATTTCCCTGGCTTGCACCTAAATTGTAAACACCGGTTCTCATTTACATAAATTGAAGGATTAGATTGTAAAGGGAATTTCAGAGCTGAATGCTCTTAAGTTGTTCTAATCCAAGACCTAACTCGTACATTCTGAGAATGAAGAGACACGGGAGTGAACCCGCCCCGGTGCTCCGGCCAGATCCCGGGGGAGGAGCGAGTTTCTGGGCCGGACCCTGAGTTTGGCACCTTTCCCGCTCTCAGCCACCTTAAGCGAAATCTAACCCTTCGCAGTTCGGCCCTGGCAGTAACAAGGGAGCCCCGAAAGAACCCCCTCGTCGCCCCCCGCCGCCCCAGATGCCCGCGGTCAACTTCACTGGGGAATTGAAAGCCAAGCAGGACGGGCGGCCCTGGAGGTCGCCGCAGGGCGGGAGCGGGGGACAGGCCCGGCCGGACCCGCCCACCTGGACTTCCCCCGGACCGGCGCCGGCTGCCCGGAGCCCAGCGGAGCCCAGCGGAGCCTCCCCGCAGCGACCCCCGGCGGCCAGCCAGGCTGGAGGCGCTCGCCCTGCCAAGGCTCCAAGGCACCGGGACGTGCAGGGTCCCGACCTCTGGTTCTATGGGGACTGGGGCGCCCCTTGCCTGTCTGAGTGGCCCCTGCTTCTCCCGAAGGCCGGCGGGCGCTGGTGCACACGGGAACATCGGCGTCCCGAGCGGTGATCTTCCCGCCACTCCCGCCTGGACCTGAGCCACCAGCGGTGCGGAGACGCGGCGCGAGCGGCGCTAGCGGGAAGGATCCGAGGTAGCTGAGCAGACCCACCAGCAGCCGCCCAGCCGTGCTTCTTGCTACCTCTGAGCCGGCCGGGCAGGGACTGGGAAGTGAGCTAAGGGAAAGTCCGCGCAGCAGGGTGCCCCCTCCTTCGGGGGTGTGGGAACCGCCCCTTCACCTAGGGCGCGACTCGGCGCAGGGGCGGGGGCGGGGAGGTGAGGGCCACGCGGTGCCAGCCTCTGATTGCCAGTGGTTAGTGGCCCTGGGCCACTGCTCTTCCTTCTGGGGTCTAAGTTACTGGGGCTGAAAGCTGATCTTGCCCTGATTGTTGCTCCCTCCTGGGGACACTTCAGAAGAGGGGGCTGGGGGCGTGGTGGAGGTTCTAGGGCAGAGGAGGGACAGCTGACACGCTTGAGGGGCCTCACTCCTCCCCTCACCCTCCCAGGGTTTTCCACAGCAGAGAAGAAGATTTGGCAACTGAAGAGAGCTGAGTGCCCAAATAGTATATTCTCTTGAAACTTGGGGCATCCAAAAGTTCGCATCACACATAAACTGAAGGTGCAGGAATGGAAAAAGATAGTGCAAGTGGAACTTGAAAAGAGTACCCCACTTAGATTAAAAGAAAAAAAGCTACAACTCAAAAATTGTAAAAAGGGACAAAACCGATCACTATATAAAGGAATCAATTCAGCGAGAGGCCATAGCAATTATAAATATCTATGCACTCAACACCAAAGCACCTATATATAAAACAAACATTAATAGCTCTAAAGGGAGAGACAGACGGCAATATGGTAATACAGGGAGCTGAGTATCCCACTCTCAATGATGTGTAGATCAACAGCATAGACGACCAAGGCAAAAACAGACAAATGGGATGACATCCAGCTAAAACCTTTTGTACAGCAAAGGAACACAGTTAACAAAGTGAAGAGACAGCTACATAGGGGAGAAAATATTTGTAAACTATCCATCTGACAAGGGATTTATAACCAGAATACACAAAGAGCTCAGAAAACTCAATAGCAAAAAAACAAATAATCTTCAACTTTACTAGGAGGGGTGGTAATGAGTACACTTATCTCATAATTGATTTGTAGATAATGCTTTTGTTTCCTCATAAAATTGATATATTTGTCCCAATGTTATTTTCAATGATTATGTCAATGTTTTGCCTATAGTTGATGTTCTGTAAATATTCATGGAATAAAGGAGCCTGAAATAAATAAATAAATAAATAAATAATCTGATTTTAAAATGGGCAAGAGATTTGAACAGACATTTCCAGAAGGAGACATATAAATGGCCAACAAGTATATAAAGAAAAGCTTGACATCACTAATTATCAGAGAAATGCAACACAAAACCACAGTGAGATATCATCTCACCCCAGTTAGAATGGCTTTTATCAAAAAGACAAGGGGTAAGAGATGCTAGCGAGGATGTAGGAAAAGGGGAACCACATCCTCATTATGAGTATTTCCATTATGGAAAATAGTATGGAAGTTGTTTTTTTT